CAGAGATAAGCTGCTCTCTCCTCAGGAAATCAAAATGGACACCCTGACATTCCTGATGCTTACAGCCTCAGTCTCCCTGCGCTGGCAGGAGATGCGCTGGGTGTTGGGATTAGGGAAAATTTCACTGATGCAGAAAGAAGACAGTGTATTACTGGGAATTCGCTCTAAGTCATAGGATACTTGTTAATGTGCATGTGCGTGTAAGTGCGTTTGAGCATGTGTTTGAATGTATGTGAACACGCACCCATGAGCGTGAGTGTTATGTGTACCTATGTGTGTGTGGGTGTGTGTGTGTTGGGGCGGTACATGCATGTGCATGCTTGTGTGAGTGTTTGAGTCCGGAGTGTGCATTTATGCGTTTGTGTGAATGCGTGTGCTGTGTGTATGCGCACGCTTGTGGGAGCGTTTGTGAGAGGTGTGCACATTTATGTGTGCGTGTGTGTGTGTGTGTGTGCGCGCATGTGTGTACTAGTATAGTCAAATCCCGAGAAAGAGAACTGAGGGACACAGTTCTTAGTTTGGGTTCCCGTGAGCTGGATTTAGGTCCAGGGCAAGGCTGCATAATCCTGTTCCTGGAGGTTTTCACTCCAGCTCTAGCAGTGATTAATAGTAGAGTCAGGACGCTACAAGTTAACGTGAAGATCTACAGGGGAGCTGATCTCCAGGAACAGGATTGGGCAGCCATGGTCCAGGGTTACAGGAGGGCTCATAGTTAGCACAAAGTCCAGTTTTAAGGTTAGGTAAAAGAATAATGCTCAAGGTTAAGATGAGGTGTCATAGCAAAGTTAAAAATTAGGTTGTTTTGGGGCATTTGTAAGAAAGTTTTAAGGTTGGGGTTCAGATCAGATTTAAAAAAGGGGTTGATTTTACGGTTTAGGGGACCAGAAACAGGATTATAGAACCAAAATAATTTTTTGGTCCCTGTGAGTAGCGATTAGTGTACTTCACAGTTTAAAACACTGGTGCACACAGAGTGTATCCATCTGTGACCACACGTGTCTCTCCATTGTGTATGGTGGTATTTGTACATTTGAAGCACAGCTGTGCATTATATGAATGTGTGTACGTGTGTGTGTGTGTGTGTGTGTGTGTGTGTGTGTGTGTGTTTTAATGTAAGACCATTTGTACTTATTGCTTTCAATCCTCAGTAAAGACAAGCCCGAGAATAAAGAAATCTTACATTTGAAGCACTGGAGCGCACAGCGCGTGACAGATCCGGATATTGCATTAAAAACGCACAAATCCTGCGATGATTGCCAGCGATTCAAAGCTCATAATTATCCGCACTGTTAGAGAGGCTTTTGCACCGCATTCGACATCGCCTTCCCCTGCCGCACACACAACTCCTGTACAGCAGAGGGACCACCTTACTGGTCATACAGATCAGAGGTCAGAGGTCAGAGGTCAAGAGCAGGTCGGAGCCGTTATCCTCACATGGGCTGGGAGGGTCAGAGAGACACCGATCTGTAAGGTGACCCCGGCAAGCGCACAGGCAGAGTGTATAAGCGCCAGGTACCAGCGAGTGGATCCTGCAGTTTCCACTTACACCCTGACTGTAGGTCACACTCCGAGCTCCTGACCGGGGTGTAACATCCATAAAGAGGGACGCTGCTTAACGGAGGCTGTCAACGGAATCCACCCCTCCAAGGCGACAATCCAGGGCCTCGCATTAATGGGTTTCCCTGGTTGCGGTTCAGTAAAGTTACTCCATCTCACATCCATCCATTACTTAAACAGCCTTTTCAAAGTAAGGAGGCCAGGAGCCAATCCCAGCTTACAGAGGGCAAGAGGCGGGAACACCTCCAAAAGAGTCAGCCAATCCCTTGCATCTGATCACATATACTGTACATACCTATGGGCAATTTAGAGTCGCCGACTGACCTGTTCACCAACTGTCTCGCATGTGTCTTAGAGCTGCAGATGCAACCGGAGGAAACGCATTCAAAAAAAACAAGCAAATTCCACACACAAAGGCCCCAGGCGAGATTCGAACCTCTAACCCTTTTGTTCTGAAACAACATCACTACCGACTGCGCCGTCTCAAACGAGGAAAGAAATACACGGTCAAATCTGCCAAAACATATCAGCATCCATCTACTGAATCCATACACTGTCACAAACGATGCCCAATACAGCTTCTGTAACCAAAGCTGGAATTTCTCCGCATTTCCTCCTTGTTCAGCAATCAGTATAGCTCAGGAAACGAGCAAGACTGCAGCCAAAAAAAAAACACAGTTTGGCTTGGCGATGCCCGTGTTTACTATGTACAAACAAGAATGGGCACAGCAGGTGAACCCACTTCCTGAAGACAAATGTCACAAAAATACTGCAGTCAAGAGAGAAAGAGTAACCATTCTGCTCAGCAACGCTGCAGGAGTTCGGACTCACCCTCGGCTCAGTTCCCCGAGACCAAGGATGGCCCACTTGGACCCGGGCCAGCACCAGGTTGGGGAACCACAGTTGTTTCTAATTTCCGTTTCTAACACAGAGGAAAGCGGGGCAGGGCAGCACTTGGCTCCGCGGGGGCGGCTCCTGAGCGAAAGCGATATTAAGCAGCGATCGCGGCCCATTAAAAGCCCTTCAAAAACGGAACAGTGCCTCGGCTCTCTCAAGCCCTTGGGAAGCAGCCAAACCTGACTGCTGTTTTCATTTTAGGATCTACCAGTCAAAACAGATATTTATGGGCCCACTCAGTGCTTCGGTTGCAAATAAAATGATAATACCTGACAACGAGCAAAGAAAGACAAAGTCGTGGTCATAGTAATTATCCCAATAAATATACTGAAAAAGCTTGTCATGAAAAAGCACTTTCAAAAGGGAAAAATACTTTAGAGTAAGTGCAGGACTGACTCTTTGGTCAGCTTCAACTTTCATCTTCTGCATTTAATTCTTCTTCTTCATTTTTGAGATCTAAGCTCTTTTTGTAGTCCTCGCACAGCTCAGCACCATGGAAACAAGCGCTTCACTCATTTCACCTGCAGCTCAGTTGGTGGGCAAAATTCAGGAGAGAACATGGGCAGCGAATGTTCTGGAAAATAAATCATACCTTTAAAATGATTTTGTTGTACAACGCATTGCTACAGCAAAAAAACTAGAAGAACCATGATCCACTGAGGTATGCGCACAGCACTTCCACTGACTGGCCACCTAACTTACTGAGCTAGCCTTCTAACCACAGGGAAGTTTGCACATAAACGTCTTCCGCTCCTAAAACCAGTGTCTTGAAACATGGCAAGCGATTGGATATTCTGGGTGAAAACGGAAGACACTTCTCCTGATTGGCTGGCTCTGGTCAGCACCATTCTTCTCCACTCCCCGGTGGAAAACTATGAGTGTAGCTCGTTTCCGAGAGAGGTCGAATAATGAAGGCACCATGCCAAAATGGAGACTCTGTCCTCGGAGGTAACAGAGCTGAGTCATTTGCGAACTGTTGTTCAGTCCAGGCGCACATTCGTCAAACTGCATTTAGGTCCAGTACTGCCAGTGTGATGCGCCATCAGGTCAAGGTCAGACAGAGCGAAGCGAGGTTGCAGCTGTGCAGTGATGCCTCCGCAAGCAAAGAGCTAGCATCAAATTGATCATTGCGGTGGCTCAGGGGGTAGCACTGCTGCCTCAGAGCAGGGAGAGCGTTGGTTAGAATCAGCCCTGGGCCCTTTCTGTGAGGGGTTGGCATGGCCTCTCTGTGTTAATGTGAGTTTCTTCTAAATACCAGGTGCCTTTTCCATAGTCCAAAGACAAGCATGCTAGGCTTTTAGCAGACTTCAAGTTGCGAATAGGTATGAATGTATGAGTGACTGGAGTGAATCCATCAATGCATTATCTAACCCATCAACAGCCTGCCAGGGTTGCAGGGGGTTGGAGCACATCTCGGTAGGGTCCAAAGACAGGGATTTGCGACGACTCAAGGATAGGAGCCATTTTGTTTCCATCGCTAAAAACCACGCTGGTTCACACCATGGAAATTGAAGGATTTTTTTTGTACTTTTCTTGGAAGGAAAACATTAATTTTGTGTGAAAAATAACAAACCAGGTAGCAATGGTTTCGACAAGCACAAGAGGGGAAAATATTGGGATATGAGTAAAGAGAAAACTGAAAAAAAGAAATCTGCTTTGAGATGGCGCTAGATGACAAGATGGAAATAAAATGGCTGCATGACCAGACTTTCTGGAACTCTCATGTTGCAACTCTCTCTATCTAGGGACTCTGCATCTCAGTGTCCAATAGGTGTAAGGCAGGAACACCCCCTGAACAAATCACCAATCCATCTTCAGGATCACGCACCATTCACTCACACACCCATTCCATTGGGCAATTTCATGTCTCTAATTAGCCAAAACAAAAACATGTGCTACACAGTGTACTCAGGCCACCAATCAAGTCACCCACCAATCAGTTCCTCACATGACGTCCCTCTATAGCTCAACATCATCCATCACAGCACTTCACAATAAACTAGCTTGCGATTCTCAGGAGAGTTAAGGGGGGTGCCAAGCTTGGATAGCAATAGCATGGTGCACAGCAGCATGTAATCCAGAGGCTTTCACTTTGCAGCAAGTCACCTTTATGGGCAATCTCAATCATCCCTTCAAACAAGGGCCAAACTTGGATGTATCATTAACTTAAAGAGCGTCTAGAAACACAGCACCACCAACCATAAAACTGGGCAACAAACACTGACTCTAATCAGCACTCTGTGGTAAATAAAGACGGGAAACGTGCAGGAAGGAGATTAGAGTTTCCCACCACTGCAATTCCAGACTCTTCAGACATACACAACAGAGCAGGGTGCCTGTTTAAGCTGAAGAAATGATATTCTTCATTGAACCCCCTTGGGGTCATTTGTCCTCTGCATTTGACCCATCCTCCTTATTTAGAAGCAGTGGGCAGCCCCACTGGTAGGGGTGTTCCTATAGAGCATGTTTTTGTGGAAGAAACCGGAGTTCCAGGAGGAAACCATGCGTACACAGGGAGAACATGCAAACTCCATGCAGAGAGGTCCTGGTCAGCGGGGCTTGAACCCGAAACCTCCTTATTGTGAGGCAACAGTGCTAGCCCCTGCACCACTATACCAAACACAAAGCTTTGAGCAGTTCTCCACTCTCAGCAATACAGCAACTTCCAACCAATCCGCTCCTATTTAGCACTTCCACCACCTGATTAACCACCAGCTCTTTAGTGGACTCCAGGAATACACAAGTGTATATGTTATGTCAGATTGCGAAACCAGTCATTCTGTGAAATGACTAAAAATTTTCTGTCTCAATCTGACTGTAAAATATACACATACGCGCACACACTCACCACATAAACTGTGCTGCAAACCATCAGACACTGCTTCATTGCAACTGCCAGCTTCACCTCGATCACTCATTTCTGTGCTTCACTGCCTATGAACATCTGAAGACCATCTTTTCCTACACAAGCAACACTGTGTGGATACAGTGAGGATGGTACAAATTTCGTGAATTACATCATAAGGAATTTGTGACCTTAAAAATCAAATTACTGGACTTAATGAATTTACCTCATGCTCATATTTTCATAAACAACACAGTGGCTTACTTTCCAACCCTGTTCTTGGAGATAGAATATCCTGTAGGTTTTCACTCCAACCACAAAATAATGCACCTGGCTCGACTAATTAGCGGTCCCTGGAGATCTCTAGCTGTTGAATGATGTGCGCTTTGTTTGGGTAGGAGGGAACACCTACCGGAGCGTAGATCTCCGGGTACAGTTTTGAGCAACCCGCATCTTGAATGACATTTGAGTCAGCTCTGTAAAGGGCTTTGTTCATTCATGTCTTTATCTATTCATGCTCATTTATTGCCTCTTCCTTTCCTTAAATTGTCTGATACGTGCGTTCATCTGTCACATCAGTTCAGGAACAGGAAGCTAAGAAAATGCAAATGCAGCACTGAGACGCGCTCAGTATGACACGGTCTGCAGGCCTTACGAGGCTATAGCCTATAAATGCATTATGTCGGCCAACACTATTTTGGGGGTGGGGGGCATTTTTAGATTATCAATGATGTCATTAATCTCCATGATAGCGGCACATCCTCACATTTGGCAATACCTGAAAAACGCTAGAGCCCACTTGAAGCACGGATACCACCCGAATAAATCTTATAGAAAATCCTTGCCAGTTGACAGGGTGGTCCATCGTAATAGCAGAACAGCACACTGAATTCTGCCGATGAAGCTTATGAGACCAGCACAGGATTCCGAATGAGGAAACACAACGCTCTCCACCGTTAGACAATTAAAATCGACACCCCCTCCTTAATGCGCAGCAGGAAATAATGTGCTTATGGACATTTTATAAATGACGGGTCGGCTCAACGCCTCGCATTTTGCTACAGTCGGGTGAGCTGGGGTCGCCAGCGTTTTTTTTTTTTTTTTTTTTGCCGAGCTTGTTGGTGAGATTTCTGTTACGACCTTAAACACAAGGATCGGCTCCGACGTTTCCAAACACTCGCAGTAAACATGACCAGATGAGCAGTTGGATGGATGGTGCAGTCGAATTCAAATCACAAAGATTTAGATCACTGTATGAGAAAAAATGGGAAATCAGATTAAAATAGCCCATTTTTGCTTTCGTAAATCAGGTATTTCGGTCACCGATGAATATGACAACCACTGTGTTTACCCCCATCAGTGCTGTCCAACAGATACATTTTCTCGCGTCTTGCCAAAGCATGTTAAGTCTGCGAGGATTAAAACACTGGCTAAAATTCTAAACCGTAGCCTATAACACCCAAGCCTGCCGATCATGAAATACACAAGGCGAAACACACCCACTGACACAGCCTACTCAGTCATACACCGAGCACAACAGCAAAAACAGCAGGGGATTGAAGTGGTTCACTCTCCTCCGTCCTTCTCAAAGAATGGCTTACCCATCGCCTGTGGTTTGTGTAGACTATTAGATGTTCATTGCGGCTAAGCAGTCTCTCGGCTCATCGCAGTGTTGAAAAATGGCACGGACATTCCTATTTTGTTTTTCTTTATGTCCTATCTTGCTGTGCACCGGTATCTTTTTATGGCCAGTTCATGCTCATCTCGTACTGCGCTACATAGCTGGGGCTGTGCGGCAAAGCATGCGTCTCATGGGTAAGCGTCCGATTCCCCCAGAGAACGGAGAAGCAGCAAATCAGTCAATCGCGTCGTCCGTTTGTCCGGCGTGTCCCTTTAAAGCAAGCCTGTGAATGTGACCGAAGACCAAAAGGCTGCTGGTGAAATATTAACGGGACAGAAAGGACCCTTTTCGTTCCATTTCCATCAGTTCTCTCGATAGCTTGTTGTGATGACTGGTGCACGAAAACGAGTCCCAATGATGAGAGAAGGCAAATTACTGTCGCTCCTCACAACGATTTGATGGAGCCTTTCGCTTGCGTCTCTTACAGTAGCCTATTTAGACATCGCTTATTACAGCCTAGTCCCATAAGACTGTCTCCGCTGTTTTCAGAACCAAAAATTACGCCTTTTCCGCTCCCATCCAGACCCCTCTTCTTTCTATTTTTTTCATTCTGTGATCTGAAATGAGGGGAGGGGGAGGAGGGGAGAGCGCGTATGAGAAAAGCTCCTCCCAGAGCGCTGGCCGCACATCGAGGCCGGGGGCAGGAGTAATGGGCACCGAGACCAACTGAGATGAACGCGAAAAATCTAAACAACATAGAAAACTGCGTAAACGCTATCATTTATCGCAGTCATGCAACTCACTCGAACCGTATCGCGTGAGATGATAGCAGCGGATTTCCACAGTTTTCCGATTGGCAATTAGAGAGTGGAAACGGGCAACCACCGCAGAAAAATAAAACTGAAAATAAAATGAATTTGATTTCTGTGTCTTGTCTGATAGTGATGGCTGGAATGTCGAGCTCAATATGTTTAACATCGCATCATGCGAAGTATTTGCACTGAGTGGAATTACCTCAAGTGTATGCTAGCCACGTTAATTTATTAGAATTCGCAAAATATTACTTAAAGGTCCCCTATTATTTCACCAGGTGCACCCCCAATTAGTTATTACAAGTCATTTCAAAATCTTTCCCCTCTTGTTATCACATGGGGAAGTAACCAAACAGAGGGAAGAAGAGTTGATCAGCTTCAGCCAAGCAGTCAAATAGATTTCATTATTCTAGGTGGTCACTCCCCCTTGTGATGTCAGGAGGGGGAGATTTTGAACTGGCTCATAATGGCTAATTAGCTGTGCACCTGGTGGCATAATAGGGGACCTTCAAAATGAGTAATTCAATCATTTTTTCTATTCAATAAGGCATTGTGTTGGCAAGTTGTAGCACTGACCGAAATTGGTCAGGTAAAAAGAAATGTACCCTCAACCAGCACAGTGTTTTTTTATTGATCATTTAAAATACTTTAATTTATTTTCTAATTTAAATAGCCAAAGTAGCCTACCTCTGGCCTGTTGCACAAACATCTGATTGTAGGCTATTTAATTGGACAATGTATTGCTGATGTTTCAGTCAGCTTTGTGAACTGAAGCAATGGAGTTTAAGGAAGGTAACTGATTTTTTTTGCGGGAAGAAAAGAAATCGATTGCCGACTCTTAGCACGGTTATAGAAGAAAATCGTGACAAAATGAAAGTACGATAAAACATTTTATTACAATTGTATATAGATATAACAAATAAAACAACATTGCTTTCGGCCCTATCCAGGGCAGTTGCTAGGAATTCTGGGCCCCCTGACAGAATATCGGTGTGGGCCCCCGCCCCCGACTTTTCATTGCCATTTTTTTACGACTATGTATCATGATGTTATTTATTTTTCTGTTTCTCAGTGTTCTTGGCAGTGCCTAATGCAATACACCCAATTTTTCACTTTTTACAATTAACCACTCAACAAAGAGAGTATCATTATGTAAATTATGAATTATTAGTAGTCTTATTCACATTCACTAACTCACTCACCATCAAAAACATCTTCAGACTGCTGGTGGTGAGGGTCTATTGCGGGGTCAGGTTCAGATGAAGAGACCACAGCTGATTCTGGCATAGCAGTGCATAAAGGTTTAATTATTCCATTTCATATTACTTTCATAAACATTTTAAGTTATGTTCCATGGAACAACTGATGAAGAACTAACCTACCGAGTCTTGGAATAAACTAAATCTAAATGGGCTTCTCAGTGCCATAGCTCTAAGCACTCAGCTTCATTTTGCTATTGTTAAGAGGAGGGCAACTCCTGCAAAATGACCCCCAGCATGAACAAGACTTATGTCAACAGGCTAAAGTAGCAGTTTTGTTTTAGTAAACACTTAAGGTAAAAGTAATGTCAGCCTTGTCAAGCGATTATTTAAGTTACACCTAAGGTTACCACACCGACTGCATGTAGTTCGCTAGCCAAACCTAGCCTGTACAGTCACTTACAGCTAGAGAGAGCTAAGTATGCAGTAACCACTCATAATAAGAATGGAGGAACGTGTCCTAGGCTGCTGCTACCAGATTTTTTTACGGCATATTATAACGGCTGGCGAATGATAACCTTACCGATCTTTTCTGTGGATGATACCGTTAATAATTGAGTAATGTCATTCTTGTCAGGTGATTATTTACTCAGCTGACCGCATGTTACATTAACGTAACGTTAGCAGGTGAATAGCCAGTCTGAACGGCTAACATAGCAAGCTAGTTAAATACTCTCACCTTTCTTTGAAAAGAATTTTGTAATGTTCTGGACCCCTGCTTTGCTCCTGCTGTGCTCTCTCTATTCTTTTCTGGTGTCCATATTTGTGTGTGCGTTTTTCTTTTTTGAAATCATATTCGCAAGGGCGGTGCACCCTGTTTGCTGCCTTAGTTCGCGACCTCGCCAGCAAAAACGCACAGACAATTTTCCAATACAAGCACGAAGCATGGATCGAACCATTTTTTAAGAAGGGAGTTACTGAAATGTATTTCATCAATATTGCATGCCTTAATGGCTTTGTTTAAACTCTGATGCATTAGTATGAACATTAGGTAAATCTATGCAGAATAATTTTGTCATGGCGGCTACTGTGGGTTTTGTGGGCCCTAATGGACTGTGGGCCCTTAGAATTGTCATCACC